ATGGCTATTGTTCACAGGTGACTGATACTCACATCACATGGCTATTGTTCACAGGTGACTGATACTCACATCAGTATGAGTCACCTGTGAACCATAGCCATGTGATGTGAGTATCAGTCACATGGAGGCAGTGCTTAAAAGCCTGAATTTAGCCTGAAACTCTCAGACTGAAGAAGTCTCTTGGAGGAGAGACGAAACATTTCATTAGAGAAGAACCCGTCCAGAAGACCTATACAATTTTTTTCTTTTTGATTCTCTGTAAAAGTGACACCTGTTGACTTGCTGTAATGATGTGTTATTAAGAATAAATAGGATAATTAACAAAATAATAAATGTGCTGATTTGAGAAGCTGCACATCAAAAGCAACAAAGCAGTTCTCCCCTCACTGTCATCCAGCCCTCATGGTCCAAGTAATGCTTGGCAGAAATTCCTGGAATTTCCTCATTATACAGATGGAAAGAGCTTCGGGGCGGCCAAGTCGAGCCATTGTCAGCGTAGAGAAGAGGCCACAAACTGCCTAATAAAACAGATATCTGCTCAGACTCCATTGTTTACATGGCATTGCTTTTGTGCGGCTGATCTTTTCCCGTTGAAACACAATCTGTGTGTAACGACCGTCAGGAGAAATCTGAGGTATTTGAGTTAATAGGGCAGCAGCGAAGTAACTGCCTTATAATATCAACGGGTGCTGTGCGATGCATTGTGTGCTCACTGACCAGAGTAACCTTTTCAGAGTGTTTGAGGTAGGGGAGTCCCTGCCTGTTCATGCCAAGGTCCAAGAGCACTGCCATAGCAACTGTTGCAGAGCTGAAGTCAGCCACACAAACACATGCGTACAAAAAAAAGATAAATATTAACTGAACGGAAGAGGGAAGTTCCATGTCGACAGAAAACAACCAAGTGAACAGAATCCCGTCTTCTTGATTCAGTGATTCAGCCCTTCAAAACGTCTCTTCCTGTGTTGGATGAATGAAACATGATGTTTTTATGAGTATAACCATCCTTCCCTGTTCAGCAGCAGCAGCAGTGAGAGGCAGTGGCTTGAAGACAGAGTGGAGCTGAGCAGCCGATGGAGCTGGCTGCAGCTGCGTCTGTCAGAGCTAGACGGGCGAATACAGCAGCTGACAGAACTCCACTGGAACATCTGCGCCACAAAGGTATGATTCATGTTTCACCTGCAAGGTCTTAACCATTTTAAAGTAACAAATAATAAAAACAACAAGGCTTTTTTGTATTCAGGGAGCCTCCTTTTATTGACTGCCAGTGTTCAGAAAAGTGAAGGGAAATACAGTTAAAACGTGAAATACAACCAATGCAACACCTATGTTTAACTCTTTGTGTTTATTTCTAAGGGTAGGGTGGTGCTTGCAGACCCCCGCCCGCTGACTGGCAGGCAGAATCAGCAGACCCCGAAGAGAGAAAAGGTGGATTTATCATGCACAGCATCTGAGGCTGACACTGAGCCCTGCAGCCCCACACGTCTTCTGCACAATATAGAGAGACAGGTACAGTATTAGTGAGCGACTTATACACAAACCCATAAAACCAGGATTATAT